GTTTGGGTATATGTCTAAGTGTTTATCTGCGTCTGCAGCACAGCAGGTAAGGTATTTGTCTTAGATGCGGCTGACCCAGGTTCGATTCCTCCATCCCTCTCAGAGAGCCCAGCAAGCTACCAAGAGTATCCCTCCCGCACGGCAGAGCCTGGCAAGCTCCCCGTGGAGTATTTGATATGCCCAAAACAGTAACAACAAGTCTCACAATGGAGATGTTACTGGTGCCCACTCGAGCAAATTGATGAACAATGGGAGTACAGCGCTACAGTGGTACAGAATAAGGAGTCAAATGGAAGAAAGAGTAGCATAGGGGAAGAGTAGAAAGAAAATAATATTTAGGGAAGATGAAAGAAAATGAAAGAACAAAGATTCAGTGACAGTTGTAGAATTATAAGAACCAGTGAACAAGATAAATATAAGAAAAGAAGGGAAAGGAAGACTGGTTCATATAAACAAAATGGACTCAAGAATATGATAAGAAATGAATAAGGATGGTGAAAGATGGAGAAAAGACTATGAGAGAGAGAAAAGGAGGAGGACAAGGAAGAAGATGTGGAAGAGGAAGTGGAGATACTGGCAGAGGCAGACTGCAGGACACAAGGTAAAGGAAGATGAGGTCATGAAACAGAATAATAAAAATAGTATACAAAGACTTAAAAAACTGAGAGCATGTTATAAGAGAATTCATCAAACACAGAGTCAGGGATGAATAAAAAGAAGAAATACTGCCACTGTGGACATGCTACAGAGCAACAAAGAAGAGTCAGGGAAATGGGAGTTGGAACTTTTGAGACTGAAGGTAGAAACTGGGTGATAGAAGGAAATGATAAAGTTAAGGTAGTGGCTAATGTGAATTGAATGTGGGATGAAGGAAGGAGAAGAGAGAACATAAGAGGGATAAACAAATTGTGAGAAAAAAGGGAAATTGGAATGTCAGAAGTTGAAACAGGAATGAGACAAGAGATATAACAATGAGAGAGATATAGAGGAATGTGGCAAGATTATGATCAGACCATGTCAATACCAGAAGAACCACTGAGTATTATCTAACAATATTTCTTTTTAGAAAGATTTTTTCATTGATTGATATTCTGTGCTTTGCAATAATGTTAGCAATGATGGTTTTTCATGCACATAATTCCAACACCACACGCATCACCAGTGTACTTACATCCCTACCCCAAGGACACTCCTCTCATTCAAACCCTTCCTCCACCAATTGAATTTTGTGGATCAGTTATCCTAGGTGTTACTTTTGGCCCTTTGTTGCTACCTTGCTGTGTATTTTAACTCCTATACATGAGAAAGCTTATTCTGTATCTATCCCTTTCTAACAGTACTTCTAATATGCAGGGTTTTATGTTGTTAAAAGTTAACAATGGGAGCCCCCCAACTCTAATATGTTCTCACGTGGCAAATACCTTTAATTCTTGCAGAACATCCCTCCCTTTCATATCTCATTGAGAAAGAGTCTACTTCCTAACTCAAAGCAATCTCTTTTCCTATTCCACCCCAAGCAAACTCCTTTCAGTTCTCACAGGCATAGCTTAGTATATGGACCAGGATATGTGGGCCCTGAATTGGGAATGGCCAAGAGGTATTGAAAGGACTAAATGACACTCAAGCATTTATGGGCCTGACACATAAAAGTTTTCAATAAATGTTAGCCTTTTTAATTTAAGTTCCATGTCAAGTCCCTATTGAAAGTTTTTGGAAAGCCACATTTCCTCTCTAAGTCTTTGTTTTTATCTGTTGTTAAATATTTGCTACTTTCTTTATGCCTACTTCATATGATAGGTAATGAATTGAACCCAGTGTTTGCATCATATCTGGTGATGTTTTCTTTACCTTGTCTGCCTGAAAAGACTAAAGTGCTTGTGGTTGAGCCTGCAGAACACAGATAAAGCTCTAAAGCTCACTCCCCAAGTTTATCTTCATTAAGGTCTGACCACTCTCCAAGCTGAGATCAGGGTGTGGGAGAGAAGCAGTGCTCTTTGCTAGAATCACTTCTGAGCATCTGGTTAAGGCTGACGCTGGTTATTGATGGCAAGAGAGGGCTGGATTGCATAAGGAAAGGCAAACAAGGAGCATAGCCAGGTTTCAGATTCCTACAAACTCCTTTACAACACTTACAACAGTGATGTTTGGGTATAAAATGAGAAGAAAAATCCCAACATCAAAGGCAAAGTCAGATTGCCTTGATGTTTATTATATTCATCCATATACATATATATATATATATATATATATATATATATATTGATTGATTGTTTGGTACCCTGAATATCCTTAGTGCAAAGTCAGGAAGAAGTCCTGAGCACTACTGTTATGGCCTCAAAACAAAAACAAAAATGACAAATGCTGTCTCTCACTACCTCCAAGGGATTTTTGCCTATGATTTTCTCAGACTTTTGGGGAAAATAGTATACTTCTTGGATTTGTTGAGTTAACAAGTCTTTCAAGCTGTAATTCCAATTTCTACTGTTTTGATTCAGTCTCATAATCCCTATCTCTGGGACTTAGAAAAGTCACATCTCTGCTCTATGCCTTATATCTGTAAAATGTAGGTAGTAAATATATATGGGCTGGAGCGATAGCACAGCGGTAGAGCGTTTGCCTTGCACTCAGCCAACCCGGCCAAGCTGGGTTCGATTCCTCTGTCTCTCTCGGAGAGCCCAGCAAGCTACTGAGAGTATCTCGCCCACACGGCAAAGCCTGACAAAGTACCCGTGATGTATTCAATACGCCACACACAGTAACAAGAAGTCTCAAAATGGAGACGTTATTGGGCCCGCTCGAGCAAAGGATATATAATTCAGATGGATGTTGTGAAGACTAGGTAAAGTATACAGAAAAATTCTTATTCCAGTGAAAATATTGGAAGTGTTAGCTGTTCTCTTTAATTTTGTTTTTATGTAGGGAAGTTAAATGAAAGGTCACAAGGGCAGTTAAAGGAAAGGTCAAGGGAAGTTAAAGGAAAGATAAAGGGAATTCTTCCCATGAATATACTTGACCAGGTATGAGTAGCTTAATTCAGTCCTTGTGTTTTTATCCCATCAAAACTTTATATGTTGGATTCTGCCTCTTTTCTCTGGCCTAATTTTCTCTGTATATATTATATCTTGTTTAGATAGCCAAATACTCATAGAGTACTTACTGGGTTGGATGCTGTTTGAAAATGGTTCGTAGGCAATACCATAGTAAATCCTCATCATATTCACAACTCTATGAGATAGCTATTATTTGTAAATTTATTTCAAAGTTGAGAAAACTGAGGCCCCAAAAGATTAAATAACCTTACCAGGTCACAGAGTAAGAACTCAGGAGAACTAGGAGTTGACAGCAAGCAACTTGGTTAAAGAGCAAACTAACTTAACCACTGTGGGTCTAGGACTCAAATATTAGTAGATATTACTAAAAGTCTGGTCAGACATTAACAGGTGCCCCCTCCCCCTTGCTGCACTAGTAGACCTCTTTCTGAGATATTTGATTTTGAATTGTTAAAAATGCTTTTACAAAATTAACATATTTTAATGGGGGAAACAATGTATTTATTCCCATATAAAACATCCATAAAATTAGCATATTTTAAACTTAAATAGAATTTAGGGCATTGGTGAACATTCAGTCACTCACTCATTCCATTATTAAAAAATTAAAATATCTATCGTATGATAGTCTTTACCAGTGACCTGCTTAAAATACTGTTTCCACCTCAAAAATTGAAACTCAAATTTCAGGCAAAGCAATGGACCATAACTGGGTTTTTTTTGCACCTTAAAATATTCTTATGTCAGTAACCAATCTTCAGTTCCAGAGACCAGAAGAGGAAACCACAACACTATTTCTTGCCATAGTAAGAAACCATCCATTAAAGAATTTCTTGTCCCCTCTCTTCCTATTGCAAGGATCCTTCTTTACAAAAGTAAATTTGATATGGATGAGATGTAATCACTTTTCTTTATCAATTGGAAATATCAGATATACTTCCCTCCTAGTACCTTCTCATTTCCACGGAAAAGTCAGAGAAAATAATTTGTTTTTGGAATCTGAAATTCTTAGAATAAGAAAAATTTTAAAGGTCACAAAAACCAGAATACATTGTGAAAATCATACTTCAGGGACTGGAACAATAGTACAGCTGGTAGGTAATTTGCCATGCACGCGCCAATACGGGTTCGATGGCCAGCATCCCATATAGTCTCCCAAGCATCGCCAGGAGTAATTCCTGAGTGCCTGAGCCAGGAGTAACCACTGTGTATTGCCGGGTGTGACCCAAAAAGCAAAAAAAAAAAAAAAACATAGTTCAAACTCTTATTTTTTCAGAGGATGAATGGCTTAGCTCTTGCAGTCTCATTAATTAGAATGAGAGTACAAATATAATAAATTCAAAATAGGGGCTATTTCAGATTTTTAATGACACAATATTACTCTAAATTTTTATAATTTTTATATATCTAAATTTCTTAATTATATCCTATCCAAATCCTTATTCCTATCATCCTCACATTCTGTAAGTTTTCCATCCTTACCTCTGGCCTCCCAGGCATTGAATTCTGATGTCACCCAAGTAAGGAGAAGGAGTTAAAGATGGAAAATTCCTGGAAGCAATTTCAAGACATTATCCATGGACAGGAGAAGGAGAACGGGAGAGTGAAAGACAGATCGAGGGATACAGAGTACAAAGGAGATATATTGAGAAGAGAAAAGGGGCAGAGAGAAGATACACACACAGGTATTGGATGAAGGGACATTAATACAAAGTTAGTGTCAAGGAGATGATGTGAAATGAGTGATTTTAAACACAGAGAAGAAACAAGGGGAGAAAAATAAAAAGAAAACCTGAAAACAGGGAAGTAGAAGACACATAGGAGAGGCAGGTGACAGAATATGAGGGAGATACATTCTAAGAAACAAAATTAACACAGTCAGGAGTCATCCAAAGCAGCCTTTAGGTTGGCAGGCCAGAAAGAAGGCACAAAACACAAAACTCTTCTTACCTGTTGCCCTACACTGAGGACGAACGAACGATGGGTGGATGCCGTATGTCAGGGCTTGGCCTTTATCCCTTTTCCACTTGTTCAACTCCACCCACCCCGCCTTCTGATCGCCTGGCCCTAAATTAACCCCAAAAGTATCATAGGCTCTTTCCAGAGATAAAATCCTCTCTCCCCTATCTTCCCCTCACCCAGAACTGGCTTTCTCCTTTCAGTTTTCTCTCTTCTTCATCTGAAATGGCAAAATAAGCTCATTATGCTTTGTAATAAAACACCTATATATGGTTAGGGGATATTGAGTAAAACCACCTTTCTGAAGGCAAATAAACTCAGAGGTAACTATAGCACATATGGAAAAGTCTCATAGCTTCCATAGATATATTCAGATCAGTGTTCAGTAACATCATGTCAGAAAACAGTAGTGTTCAGGGATCACTCCTGGTGCTGGCAGAGGGAATATGGAAGGTAATGATCCCATATTATTTAAATTTTGATACGAATTTACCGCATAAATATGATGTATATCAGAGAGATACTTCACTCACCAACTTATAAATGTCAGTTATTTGTAGCTGCACATGGTGGTGCTCAGAGTTCACAACTAGTTTTGTGTTCAAGGGTTATTGCCCACGTGTTTTTACTGTTTCTTTGGCCCCAAATGTTTTCTGGTTTTGGACCACACCTGGTGGTAGTCAGAAGCTGTTCCCAACTCTATGCTTGGGTTTCACTTCTGGTGGTTTCTGGAGGACTATGCAATACTGGGTCTTGAGAAGTCAAGCCTCCAGCTTGCAGAGCATGCACTCAGCCTATTACACCATTCTCCAGCCCAGTTTTAATAAATCTTAAAATTATTTTTATGTTATAGTCATTAGAATATATAAGAGTATTGCTTTGATCAAATTGAGCATCTGTTCATTTATGTTTCATGAACATTTGCGTATTTCCTCTTGTGAATTTCCAAATCTAGTTCTTTGCTCATTTTTGAAATGAGTTGGCAGTAAAGAGTAGCAGTTAAAAGTATGGGCTCTGGAGTCAGGTGCACCCAAAAGATAATTCACATCTATTACCTTACTCAGCAGCTGTGTGATTCACTAAATTCCAGAGTCCTCTTTAAAATGACACATTCCAAATCTATCCCATAAGATTGTTGTTAAGATGAATGTAGCTATTATTATTTGTAGTTTACGTTCTTATTTGGAGAAGGCCTACTTTCCTCTGACAATAATTGCTCCATCTGGACCCAATTATTCATTCCACAGATTGAGTATCTACCATTTATCAAATTCATGGAATACAGCTACATACAGCTAGAGACTGTGCATGCAGCACAGTGTTCTTAAATATCTTTCTAAATAGAAAATTGCCTCCAGTTCTGAAAGATATTTCAGATTCACCTGCAATAGCCTCAATATCCAACGTTTCAGCTAGTTATTTGCCACTTTGGAAACTGAGTTCAGCACTTCTTGAAAACTTCATAGTCCTATCCCCCACTAGATCTGGTGCTTTTTGTAACTTCCATATTCCCGCTGCCATCACTTATTAAACTTTTTTTTTTATCAGTGCCTTGTCTTATGCATTCTCCCCGATCAGATCTTAGGAAATTTGAGAATAAGAATCTGAACCAACAGCAGGAGGGGCTATTAGATATACTTGTATTTGCACATTTTCTGATCTATGAACCTCTTCTGTGTATATAGCCAGGTAAGGATCTGGGAGATTAAAAAAAAACCTACTATTGGTAATGGCAAACCTCCCACCTATTCTACAGGGGTATGTTAAGCCCCTGAGAGAGTTTGAGGTTTCCCAGTTTGTGCTTCCCAGTACTTTATCTAATCTTTAATGGTATATAGTCACATTAATAAGTGGCTGTAGTTGGACCTGATATTACATCTTACAGGGATGGATATTTCTCTTTGGATGGTAGTTGTACAGAAATTATCTCCATGAGAAGCAATATAATCTGGGGAAGTGAATTACAAGTGCTCAGGCAGCACCTTTTCAACACTTCCCTATTTCCCCCCTCTACATTCTGTCTTGATTTGTTATGGCTTAACTGACTTCTTGCAAATTCCCTGTGGTTAGAATATGATTCATTTCTCATGTTTAGTGACTAACTTACAATAAGTAGATATTCATATGATGTTTCGCTTCAATGATTTAGGTAGTACAACTTTTCAACTTACAGTGGCACTGTATTATGGTGCTTAAAACTTTGACAACATGCTTTAGATTATTTTCTTAGCATTTGTTTCCTAAATGTTATTTTGAGGTATATCTTATATACCATAAAGTTTGCCAATTTAAGTGTATAATTAGTGATTACACTTAATCGCTTAATCACTTCCCGTTAATCGTCGATTTGCTCGAGTGGGCGCCAGTAACGTCTCCATTTGTCCCTGTTGCGTGCTAGTGTAGCCCAATGGGGTCTAGTCGCTCTAGGAACATGAAGAGCCTCAAACTGATCATTCATGATCTTGATGAAGAAGTCTGACCATCTGGTAGTGGGCAGCCACGCAGTCTTTTGACATCCCATGGAATCCAGTCGGTAACAGCTCTAGTCCAGCGGTCGTCTTTAAATCTCATTACGTGACCAGCACATCTGATTTTTGACACCGTGGCAAAGTCCCTGATTCTTTTTTTTTAAATTTTTTCCCTTTATTTTATTTTTTTTACAGTTGTAGATTTACAATTTTCTGTGCTTGGGTTTCAATTATACAATGATCAGATACCCATCCGTCCACCAGTGCCCATTTTCCACCACCATGGATAATTTCCCTCCCACCCCCATTCCCCCATCGCCCCTGTCTCTGTAGCAGCGCAATCCCCTGTGTTCTCTCTCTCCTTTTGGGTGTTGTGATCTGCAAAAGAGGCATTGAGTGGCAAACATGTTCAGTCCATAGTCTACTTTCGACATGAATCTCCCCTCCTGGGAGGACCCTCCAAACATCCTTTATTTGGTGCTCCCTTCTCTATCTGAACTGACCTTTCCTCTAGGATACCCGGCTGGCCTCTAAGTTATGGAGTAATCCTCCTGGTGCTGATCTCAGCTATTCTTGGGTATTAATCTCATACTTTGTTACTTTATATCCCCCAGATGAATGCAATCTTTCTATGATTATCCCTCTCTTTCTGACTCATTTCGCTTAGCATGATACTTTCCATATTGTACCACTTGTATGTAAATTTCATGACTTCATCTTTTCTAAGGGATGGAGCGATAGCAGGGATGGAGCGATAGCACAGCGGGTAGGGCGTCTGCCTTGCACACAGCCAACATGGCCGACCTGAGTTCGATTCCTCCGCCCCTCTCAGAGAGCCTGGCAAGCTACCGAGAGTATTCGATATGCCAGACACAGTAACAACAAAGTCTCTAATGGAGACGTTACTGGGCCCGCTCGAGCAAATCGATGATCAACGGGAGGGCCTTTACATCTTTTCTAACAGCTACATAGTACTCCATTGTGTAGATGTACCAAAGTTTCTTTAACCAGTCATCTGTTCGTGGGCATTCAGGTTTCTTCCAGTTTCTGGCTATTGTAAAGAGTGCTGCAATGAACAAACAAGTGCAGATGTCACTTAGACTATACATTTTTGCCTCTCTGGGATATATTCACAGGAGTGGTATTGCTGGGTCAAATGGGAGCTCAATTTCTAATTTTTTGAGAATCGTCCATACTGTTTTCCAGAAGGGCTGAACCAGTGGACATTCCCACCAAGAGTGAAGGAGTGTCCCTTTCTCGCCACATCCACGCCAGCATCGGTTGCTTTTGTTCTTTTGGATGTGGGCCAGTCTCTGAGGTGTGAGATGGTATCTCATTGTGGTTTTGATCTGCATCTCCCTGATGATTAATGATGTAGAGCATTTTCTCATGTGCTTTTTTTGCCATTCGGATTTCTTCTTTGAGAAAGTTTCTGTTCATTTCATTGCCCCATTTTCGGATGGGGTTGGATGTTTTCTTCTTGTGGAATTTAACCAGTATTTTGTATATCCTGGATATCAACCCCTTGTCAGATGTGTATTCGGTAAATATCCTTTCCCATTCTGTAGACTGTCTTTGTATTTTGGTCACTGTTTCTTCGGAGGTGCAGAAGCTTCTTAGTTTAAGATAGTCCCATTTATCTATCTCGGTTTTCACTTGCTCGGCCAGTGGCGTGGCATCTTTGAAGATACCATTAGCTTCAATGTCATGGAGGGTTTTGCCAACTTTGTCTTCGATGTACCTTATGGTTTCTGGTCTGATGTTGAGGTCTTTAATCCATTTTGATCTTACTTTTGTACATGGTGTTAGGCAGAGTTCTGAGCCCACTTTTTTTGCATGTAGCCGTCCAGTGATGCCAGCACAATTTGTTAAAGAGGCTTTCCTTACTCCACTTCACATTTCTTGCACCTTTATCAAAGATTAGATGATCATATGATTGAGGGGAGATGTCAGTGTATTCAACCCTGTTCCATTGGTCTGCAGTTCTGCCATTGTTCCAGTACCATGCTGTTTTAATTATTACTGCTTTGTAGTACAGTTTGAAGTTCGGGAGGTTGATTCCTCCCATTTTCTTTTTCCCAAGAATTGCTTTAGCTATTCGTGGGGGCTTATTGTTCCATATAAATTTCAGGAGAGTTTGCTCCATTTCTTTGAAGAATGTCATGGGTATCCATATAGGGATTGCATTGAATTTATACAATGCTTTCGGTAGTATTGCCATTTTGACAATGTTAAGTCTCCCGAGCCATGAGCAGGGGATATCTTTCCATTTCCTCATGTCCTCTTTTATTTCCTGAAGTAGCGTTTTGTAGTTTTCTTTGTACAGGTCCTTTACTTCCTTAGTTAAGCTGATTCCTAGGTACTTGATTTTCTGGGGCACAATTGTGAACAGGATTGTTTTTTTCATGTTGCTTTCTTCTCTCTCACTGTTTGCGTATAGGAAAGCCATGGACGTTTGGGTATTGATTTTATAACCTGCAACTTTACTATACGAGTGTATTGTTTCTAGGAGTTTTTTGGTGGAGGTTATTGGGTTCTTTAAGTAGAGTATCATATCATCTGTGAATAGTGAGAGCTTGATTTCTTCCTTTCCTACCTGAATGCCCTTAATATCTTTTTCCTGC